TCAAGTTGTATTTCATTGCAGTTTTAATTTGCATTTCCCTGATAGCTGATGATTTTGAACACTTTTTCATGTGCTTATTTCCATCCACATATGTTCCTGTGGAGTGTCTGTTCAAGAGTCTGTTCGAGTCTTCTGCCCATATTTTAATAGAGTAGTTTGTCTTTTTACGTTGGAGGAGTTCTTTATATATTCTGGGTACAAGTCTTTTGTCAGATGTGAATATTTTCTCCCAGTCTCTGGCTCACTTGTTCTTAATAGAGTCTTTGAAGAACAGAAGGTTTTTTTTTTAATTTTTTAATTTTGATGAAATAAGTCTATTAATATTTTTCTTTCATGGTTACTCCTTTTGTATCCTGTTTAAGAATATTCTCAGTCTTAAAGATTTTCTCCTAGATTCTCTTCTAAACTTTTAATACTTTTTCCTTTACATTTACGTCTATAATCAATCTGGAATTAATTTGTGCTTACAGTATAAGGAAGGGATTGAGGCTTATTTTTTTCCTATATGGAAAACCAATTGTTCCAGCACCATTTACTGAAAATACTTTCCTTTCCCCATCTAATTGCCTTGGTGTTTTTGTGAAAATTGATTTGCAATAGGTCTATTTCAGGACTCTCTATTCTGTTCCATTGACGTATTTGTCTATCTTTATGACAAACTATACTATCTTGACAATTGTATTAATAGCTTTAAAACAAGACAAAATCAGATGATGTCAGCCCTTCAGCTTTTTGTTTTTTGAGATTGTTTTGATTATTCTAGGCCCTTTGAATTTCCATATAAATTTTAGAATCAACTTTCAGTTTTTATTAAAAAACAAACAGGGCCGGGCGAGGTGGCTCACGCCTGTAATCCTAGCACTCTGGGAGGCCGAGGCAGGCGGATTGCTCGAGGTCAGGAGTTCGAAACCAGCCTGAGCGAAGGCGAGACCTGTCTCTATTATGGATAGAAAGAAATTATTTGCCAACTAATTATATATAGAAAAAAAAATTAGCCAGGCATGGTGGCACATGCCTGTAGTCCCAGCTACTCGGGAGGCTGAGGCAGGAGGATGGCTTGAGCCCAGGAGTTTGAGGTTGCTGTGAGCTAGGCTGATGCCATGGCACTCACTCTAGCCTGGGCAACAAAGCAAGACTCTTTTCAAAAAAAAAACAACAAAAAAAACACAAACAGGCTGAGTGCAGTGGCTCATGCTGATAATCACAGCAATTTGAGAGCCCTAGGTAGGAGAATTGCTTGAGGTCAGGAGTTCAAGACCAGCCTAAGCAAAATAGCAAGATCCACCTTTATAAAAAAAAAATAGAAAAATTAGTTGGTCATGGTGGCACTTGCCTGTAGTCACAGCTACTTGGGAGGCTGAGGCAGAAGGGATGGCTTGAGCCCAGGAGTTGGAGGCTGCAGTGAGCTATGATGATGCCGCTGCACTCTAGCCAGGTGACAGAGCAAGATCCTGTCTCTAAACAAACAAGCAAACAAACAATCACCTTGTTGGATTATACCTAAGATTGCATTGAACCTATAGACCAATTTGGAGAGACATGACATCTTAATAACGTTGTCTGTTCTCATTTATATCTTCTTTAATTCTTCTCCCCAATGATTTGTCGTGCTCAGTGTAAAGACTTTGCATGTATTTTACTTATTCCTAAGTATTTTATGATTTGTGACACTGGTACTATTTTTTTTTTTTTTTTTTTTTTGAAACACAGTCTTGCTCTGTCACCCAGGCTAGAGTGCAGTGGTGTCATCATAGCTCACTGCAACCTCCAACTCCTGGGCTCAAATCATCCCCCTGCCTCAGCCTCCCAAGTAGCATGCGCCACCATGCCTGGCTAATTTTTCTTTTCTTTTCTTTTCTTTTCTTTTCTTTTCTTTTCTTTTCTTTTCTTTCTTTTCTTTCTTTTCTTTTCTTTTTTTTCTTTTTTTTTTTTTTTGAGACAGAGTCTCACTCTCTTGCCTGGGCTAGAGTGCCATGGTGTCAGCCTAGATCACTGCAACCTCACACTCCTGGGCTCAAGCAATCCTCCTGCCTTGGCCTCCCAGGTAGCTGGGACTACAGGCATGCACCACCATGCCCAGATAATTTTTTCTATGTTTTTCAGTTGTTTGGCTAATTTCTTTCTATTTATAGTAGAGACGGGGTTCACTCTTGCTCAGGCTGGTCTCGAACTCCTGAGCTCAAGCAATCCTCCTGCCTCGGCCTCCCAGAGTGCTAGGATTACAGGTGTGAGCCACCGCGCCTGGCCAATTTTTCTATTTCTTGTAGAGACGGAGTCTTGCTTTTTTGCTCAGGCTGGTCTCAAACTCCTGACCTCAAGCAATCCTCCTGCCTTGACCTCCCAAAGTGCTAGGATTACAGGTGTGAGCTACTCTCCGACAGGTTGGAGAAATTGAAACATTATTAATTTCAACATATTTTTGACTGTTTACACACATGCACACACACAGAAAACTATAGCTTTGTCCTTTTATGCTTTAAATATTTTTTCCCTCAAAACCTTGAAACTGCTGATTACCCAATTCATTTTATGGAAATTTTACACCATTTAAACTCATTGGCAAAATTAGGCCTCGTTGTTATCCCAATCAGCCAAATTAGACTCAATTTCTATTAAAAAGAGACTGCCTTTATAAAAAAAATTATAGAAATGCTATGCATTCCTGGGACATATTTACTTCTGAGTCAAAACTCAAGGACAAACAGATAATGCCCAGAGCCTGGCCATGAATTTGATGCTTACATGATATAGGGCCCTTCACTTTCAATATTTCTTATTGACTCTCTCTTTGCTTTGCCCAAGGGGACTGATGGGGTGCAGGAAATGCTACCCCAAATATGGTCCTTTTTGCATGCTTAATCTTTTAAGCTGTAGGAAATTGAGAAAACAACAGGAACAGGAACGTCCCTTCGACCTTCTCTCACCCCTTTCTCCCCTGAAGCAGGCCACACTACCCAGCAAGGCCACTCTGACCTGCTCCTCCCCTTGTCCCCTGAAAACCCTCCTGTGACAGCTGTCCTGCCCTACACCTGGAGGTAAGAAATGTCACAAGGAACCACCACCTCGCCATTGATTACCACTACAGCATACCCTTTGTCCTCCAACCATACTTCTGCATGACTGTCTGTAAAGATATAGATCTTGCCTTTCCTTTCTCTGGGTCTTCCTTTTTTTTTTTTTTTTTGAGACAGAGTCTCACTCTGTTGCCCAGGCTAGAGTGCTGTGGCAACATCCTAGTTCACAGCAACCTCAATCTCCTGGGCTAAAGCAATCCTCCTGCCTCAGCCTCCCGAGTAGCTGGGACTACAGGCATGCACCACCATGCCTGGCTAATTGTTTCTATATATGTTTAGTTGTCCAACTAATTTCTTTCTATTTTTAGTAGAGACAGGGTCTTGCTCTTGTTCAGGCTGGTCTCGAACTCGGGAGCTTAAATGATCCACCCGCCTCGGCCTCCCAGAGTGCTAGGATTACAGGCGTGAGCCACCGTGCCCGGTGGGGTCTTCATTTCTGAAAGCTCCCATGTTGCATAAAAGTTACAATAAATACATTTGTTTGTTTTTTAAGAATATATTTTATTTTGTTTTGTTTATTTTAGCGAATTATGGGGGTACAAGTGTTAAGGTTATGTATATTGCCCATGCCCCTCTCCCCTCTCGAATCAGAGCTTTAAGCGTGTCCATCCCCCAAACGTTGCACATCTTACTTGTTGGGTTTATTCTATCTTTTGTTATGGGGTGGGGTCTCAGTCATGAACCTTGCAACAGGTTAGGAAAAGATAGAACTGTTTCTTCTCTATAATACTCTGAGGGGAGACGGTAGTCTGACATTGCAGAGTTGTGGGTATTGAATGAAAAGGGTCATCACTCTCAATGCCTCGCCGTTTGAGAGACGGGGAGTGAGGACATCCCAACACAGGCCAGCGTTGCTCCTGCCACCATGCTCCATCCTTGACGGAATGACGTGTAGGACACCCGTGGACACCAAGACCATCAGTGGGTTCCTGGTGCCCAGTCACCAATGCTTCGACCGGCCCCTCTGTCAAGCGACTGCAGGTTTTTCCAGGACAAAGCAGGCACCACAATAAAATGAAGGCTGGGCTAAGGTGTGAATTTCTTCCACAACATGGGAGAAGGGCAATTTGGAAAGGGAGATGGGAAAAGTGAATGAAGTAGCTTGACAAGGACACTAGCAGGTGCATTTTCAGGCGGATCAGTTTTAGGAAAGAGGGCACACCCATCGACCCTGGAAACAAATGGCCTTACAACTGTCCGTGCCCAGGTACTCCTTAGCAAACCTTGTGCCTGCAGACTTCTGCTGTTAAATATAATCATGTCTCAACATTTCTAAGGATGAGGAGTTTTTTCTCATTTGGCTTAACCAAAAATAATTTAACTTTAAAAAAGAGAAGCATCTCACATGACATTCTGCTGTGAAAAAGAAAAAAGAAAAAGAGAAGTATCTGCAAGTTTTACTTTTTTTTAGATAATTTATTGTTAAATGAAGAAGTCACAAAGCAAAATGGACAGATGTCAAAGATAAACTTAAGACACAGTTTTTGTTGAATACTATTGTGGATTTCCTAAGGTTAGGAACAGGCAGAGTGTCAAATGAAAAGGCACTTACTCAAATAAAATCTTTTTAAAAGGCTTGTGATTTTAAAGGAAAACGACTTTTCACTAAAAATACAAATCATCCTTATTACATGAAAGCCATAATTTAAAGACTAAGAAAAAAGCTTTTTAATTAACAAATAAACTGTATCTCTTGACACATTTAGGAATGTTTGTTTTAATCAGTGAGTTTTAAAAACCACCGCTCCCACCTTGCAAACTAACATGAATCCACTATCAACTGACATTGAGCCTCACTGAAGTGTCTTCACTTGCTCTCTTTTCTGCAACTTGTCAGCAAAGCAGGTTTGGAGAGAAAAGATTAGAAAGAACTACAATTGGTTCCTTACTGAATAATTTAACAAAATAAAACCTGCTTTTCCATTTGCATTACACATTCACAATTGCTCACTTCTACTTACTTCACTGACGTATTTCAGATTCTCTCCACACCTAGAAAGACTTGCCCGAACTGAACACAATCCCCCTAATACAAAAAAATCTCCTAAAGATATCTCAAAACCCTGCTGTGTTCAAAGGTCACCTTCTGTCCTCTGCCCACAATGCTGTCCTGGGCTCTTCCAGGTGCCTCCACTGGGGCAGAGAAAAGCCTTGGGAATTCTCTTAGCAATTTAAAAATTATGTTTACCACTTAAAGGACAACATTGTGGAATCAGGTAGAAAAATCATTTTTATCAATAAATGCGGCATAATTTGCTCTTCCAAATGCAGGAAGCATTTGTGGCTCCGTATATGGGGACCGGCCCCTCGTTGGGTCCCTGCCCAGCTTCACCCTGGCAAACTCTGGAGCACGAAGCAGACTGCAGGCTCCGTCCACGGGGTGTGTCCGTGGGGGTGTGTCCCGCCAGTAAGGAGCAGGACAGACTAAACGCTGTTGTCCGAAGTGGACACCAAGACAACGTGGCTCTATTGGCCTCCAAGTCCCCAGCTGAGAGCCATTACCATCGCACCTGCTCTCACGCTAACAAAAGTCCCTGCTGTGGCTCCAGGGCACCCATGGCGCCATCAGTTCTGCTTTGGGGACAGATGGAAGCCACCTACAGATACAACGGGAGCTTACAATGCTCTGCAACCCTCGAGCACTTGACATAATTTGGATGTATTCAAAGGGAATAGCTACGGTTTGTTCTTTCCAGTATCAGAAGAAAAAAAAAAACCCATCTGCCACTTTCTGAGACACGGCAGGGACTGGCTGGAGGTCCCGAGAAGAAAGGGCTGGGCAGGGTGGCAGGGTGAGGGGGGCTGACGTCCCCCGGCCGCTGGGCCGCTGCTGCTGGGGGGCTCAGCTGGATTCACACGGTTTCTCTGGGGGACACATCTTCAGTTCATACCCAACGCCGTGACTGTCACTTCCACTCACACCATGGTAGGAAAGCAGCGTGTGCCGTCACTACAGTGGCCAGGTTTTGGAGTCTGAACTGCGGCGACATCATTCCCTGTTCCGAGAATCCACCTTAGGTTAACTGGGGTGAGCGGCGCAGACTTCCCTGCGGTGTTTTGGGTCGGACGTTCCAAGCACAGGCTCTGGCAGAACCACCCTGCGACGCTGACACCACCGCCATCCTAGGAAGGAGTCAATCAGGCACCCCTCCTGATGAACCCGGTCACCAGCGACAGCTCCAGCTGCCAGGTCTCCATCAGGGCGACCGCTTCCCGTCCCCCCACTCCCGGAGGCCCAGAAAGTGTTTTTGCAAAGCATTCTTTTAAGGCGCCGTTTCTCTCGACAGAGCCCTGCGCTGCATTTTCCCTTATGCAAAGAAGGGAAAGTATTTAGAAACCCCAAAATACTTATCAGGAGAGTCGCACAAGCCTGTGGAGGCGGGAACCAGATGCCCAGGGTCCGAGGCTCTCTGCCAGAGCCCGTGCTTGGAACTCCGGCCAACGCCACGGCTCCAACACCCGGCCACCCGCTGATCCGACCTTCCAGAAGCGCTCCAGGACAGGGTGGACCCTATTTTTCTCTTTTTAAAGGCATCATATATTGTGGTTTGGGGCTTTTTGATATCATGAGAAAGATTTAGAGAATTTCGACAGATTTGGTTAGCAGGAAACACAAATGGAAATGGAACTAAAAGATGGAATGGAACTCAGAATTCCAGATTGGACCCAGATGGGTGTCACAGTTGACTGAGTTGGCACTGCTTCTGTGGCAGTGAAGAAGACACCTGTGGCTGAGATCTCTCAAAACTCACTGTTTCCATCCCAGGGACTTTTTCCTCACTCTCCCCAGACAAACCGGCCAAGGGAAGACGAGCTCTCTCTCCTTCCCTCCCTATGTCACACTGCTACCACTTCCTTCTGTCCTAGTGGTCTTTTCATTTTCTCATCCGACTGAGACTCCGGGGAAAGCAGGCAACGGCAAACCAGGAAATCGCCTCCTTTTAAAAACAACTTGAAAATTCAACAACAAAAACCAAATATCTCGATCATTATGAAATGCAGTGATTTTTTTTTTTTTTTTTGCCTTCCCCAGGCTGGGCTTAGAGGTATCTCTAGGTTGGACGCCTCGGGGGGCTGGAATGACATGCAAGGGCCGCGTCGCCCAACCTGACCAGGGCGCTCTGGGGCCAACCCCAGCCCGGCCCGCTAGAGTCAGCATTCGTCGGAGAGGTCTTCGGTGCCCAGGAACTCCGAGGCTTCCAGTTCCACGCTGGACAGAAACCTCCTGAGCGTCTTGCGGCAGTTGTAATCCAGGGTGGTGGTGTAGGTGGTCTTGGGGTACTTGGGGTAGACGATGGTGGTGCTGAGGAAGCGCGTAGGCTTGTGGCGCGGCTCGAAGCGCACCTCAGCCTTATAGTTGCGCCACGTGCAGTTGGGGATGCAGGTGACTGTCTGGCTGCAGGAGGCCACCGCCAGGCCCAGTGGCAGCTGCACGTCGTCGATGAAGTGCCGCTCCGAGTCGTACTTGACCAAGGAGGTATACCTGGGCGGGAGACAGAAGGCAGCATGAAGCCGTGACCCTGGGCTAGGGGCACACACAGGGGTCCCCAGTGTGACCTTGAGTGTCTTATGGGGTGCCAACATCGCCACGTGGCTACTCCAGGGAGAAGCATAGAATTCATGAATTCAGCGTAGAATTCACTGCGTGCCAGGTACTGTTCTGAGCACTTTGCTGACAGGATCTAATTTCACGTTCCCTACAACCCTGAGAGAGGAAAGCAAGGTGCAGAGATTAAGGTCCCAGAGGCACTGAGATGTGGAGCTGGCATTTTTTTTTTTTTGAGACAGAGTCTCACTTTGTTGTCCAGGCTAGAGTGAGTGCCGTGGCATCAGCCTAGCTCACAGAAACCTCAAACTCCTGGGCTCAAGCAATCCTACTGCCTCAGCCTCCCGAGTAGCTGGGACTACAGGCATGTGCCACCATGGCCCGGCTAATTTTTTGTATATATATTTTTGGTTGGTCAATTAATTTCTATTTTTAGTAGAGACAGGGTCTCGCTCAGGCTGGTTTTGAACTCTTGACCTCGAGCAATCCACCCACCTCGGCCTCCCAGAGTGCTAGGATTACAGCCATGAGCCACCACGCCTGGCCTGGAGCTGGCATTTAAACACAGGGGAGCAGGATTGCAAAGTCCACCCTGTAGTCGCTGGCAGCCACTGCACGCAGCGGCCCCCGGATGCTATGAGACCTCAGTCAAGTTACTTAACTTCTCTAAGCCTCGGTTTCCTCATTCTGCAAAGGGTTCCCCATAATAAATGAGCAGAGCATTAACATATAGCAAGTGCTGTCATGGTAATTACTATATAATAAGGCTGATTCTACTGCTCTACTAGGGGTGGGCAGTTTCTCTGACCTCTCAGGTGATCAATCAGCTCTTTAATGAGAGGATGAAGGAACCCAGAAATCCTGAATGCTGCTTCTGAAAGCCTGGCTATACCAAATACTTGTACTTGGTCCCCCTGGACCTTTGGTTTGGAGACACCCCAAACCCAGGGACTCAGGGATCTGACCTTATCAATGAAAGCCAAATACAAGCCAGGAGTGGTGGTTCATGCCTGTAATCCTAGCACTCTGGGAGGCTGAGGCAGGAGGATTGCTTGAGCTCAGGAGTTTGAGACCAGCCTGAGCAAGAGTGAGACTCCATCTCCACTGAAATTAGAATTAGCTGGGCAGGGTGGAATATGCCTGTAGTCCCAGCTATTCCAGAGGCTGAGGCAGGAGGATGGCTTGAGCCCAGGGGGGGCAGGTTGTGGTGAGCTATGACGATGCCATTGCACTCTAGCCTGGGCAACAGAGCAAGACCCTGCCTCAAAAAATAAAGAAAGAAAAGAAAAGAAAGCCAATTACAGTCTTGATTTCCACAAAATAAATTAACAGCCACATTCCTCAACTGCTTTATATTTTTTAATTCCTTCCTTGGTAATTTGAGAATTTTTTTTCATGGAAGCAAAGCATTAATGCATTTTACTACATTATCATTATTGTTTCACAGAAACTAAAATAAGTATGTGCAACCTATGAGACATAATCTAACAGCACTGTCCCCGGCCAGCCCCTGCCCACTGGGTAAGAATCAGCACTCTTTTCTGTTCTCCTTGGGCAAGCAGAGAGGCTGCTGGAAGCTAATGTCATGAAGTCATGTGCCCATTTTGTTCAAAATACAAGCTCCACGGGAATAAAAGGCTAAACTGCTCACCTCCAAACTGATGAACCTCTCTTTGTTCCACGTCAAAGGGCCCTTTGTGTTAATGCAACTGAAACTCCAGCTACGAAACCACCAGTTACCAAAAGCAAAACTCCTTTTTCTAAAAAAGCCCTATCTTTACCTGAGCCTCTCGGTGAGACTTTGCCCCCAGGTAATCCTGGATGGGGTAAGTCTCAGAGGGAGGCTGGGACTTGTCCGGTGAAATCCGAACGTGACACAAGGTTAAAGCACTTTGAAGTGGGGGTTGGGGGTGGAGGGGAGCAGCTTCTGGAAAGTGGAATTAATATTTAACAAAATTTTAAACATACGATGCTCATGATATATGAAGTGCAAAAAACAAGTTGCAGAACCTTATACATCACATGATCTCATTTTTATGTTAAAAAGCATGTCTGCATACTTCATGGGTTAGAAGACACAAAATAAAAGCCAAAAGACTACCCACCAGATTATCAACAGTCTTTGACATACATTTTGTCGTTAACTAATTTTTAAAATAACAAGCATTACTGTCTGGAATAAACAATGAAAAATTTTTTTAAAAAATCACATCAGGGCCTGCGATATTTACCTTACTTCCTTCGATGGTAAGGGGTCAAACTCCACTCCTTCTCCAAAGGACAGGGGGCACAGCCTGGGCACGCAGGTGGGCACCGGGGCGCTGGGGAGAGAGGCTGGGTTCTTCAAGGACAGAGAAGAACGTGGTTAGAGCAGCCACGAGCCATCCGACACATCCCCCACAGGAGGTCCTGGCTCGGAGCCTCCAGCCGATGGGCCACCATGTGAACTGTGACCCTCAGGCTGGGCGTGTCAGAGAAGGGCTGGCCCACTGCATAGGCACAGTGCTGGACAGGGAGCCAAGAGGTCTGGGTTCGAGTCCCAGGTCTACCACGACTGTGCTGTGTGCCCACAGAGTGATCATATCGCATGCCCTTTGACCTCATCTGCACACCAAAGCGTGGGGGGGGTGCCTCCTTCCATAGCTGAGTCTATGTGCAAGGCGGATAAGAGGAAATGAACTTGAGCTCAGTACTGCGACCGTGGCCAGACCCAGGGGCTGCCTGCTGCACCATGCTATAGCCATGCGGTGAGAAAACCTCAATGGACCGGGGCGTAGGGCTTAGCCAACCAGAACCCTCAGTGACACGGCACCCCCTGTCGTTGTCTCCGCGACACTCTAGAAGAGGCCAAGACAAAAAAATGCTACTAGGGATTTTTTAAAACTGAAGATTCAGTCCAACTTCCCCCACCTCCTCTGCCTCGGGGGCTGTCAGATCCTCACCCACCCATGACAGAGAAATCCCACAACCCCGGAGTTTCGCTGGTAAGACAATCGCCAAAGTGTTCTCCGTGTCACCCTGCACTCTCCAGAAAACTCCACGAACCACAGCACAGATTCCTAGAGGCGAACTGTCTTCCAGCCTGGTCCGTGCATCGAGAGTCCTGACTCACCAAGGAGGCTTGTTAGGTGACAGTGACATCCTAGACTTGGGGACTAGTTTTCACCCGATTTGCTGGAATCAGGGCTTCTGTGTTACTTGTACAAAGATAAACACAGAGTAAAGTTTGGACTCAGCGGCCCATTGAGTTTCCTGGTCTACTGGGGATCTGTCATTTTCTTCGCCTAATTAAAAAAAAAATACTTGGGCCAGAGGCATCGTGCCCTGCCTTCTCTGCTCTTTCATCCCCGTCCACCCAGCAGACACTCCCTGAGTGCCCACCTTGCCCCGCGTGCAGCCTGGGGGTCGGGGCAGGCGGCAGCGGTCATAACACGCATGAATGGAGTGCCACTGGGACATGGGGATGGAGCCGGGGACGCTGGCAAGTCGCTGGGAAGCATCAGGGAAGGCTTCCCAAAGGAGGTCACTAACATGAGCTGGGCACTGAGCAGCCAGCAGGTCTTTGGAGAAGAGGCAAGGAGCAGCATGGTGGCACCGTGTGTCTGCCTGTGGCCAGGGCAGGCTAGACAGGGCCAGGTGGGGAGGGCTCTGAAGGCCAAGTTGAAGCAAGCCTCCACATGGAACTGAGAAAACGCGCTGATGCCCGGAGAGGCAGGGTCAGTGGGTCAAGAATGCCCGCACCACCAAAGCGTCCACGTGGGGCCCAGGGACAGCTGCTCTGCCCCAGGGCAGGGGGCCTGCGGGCAGCCCGCTTTGAGCTTTCTGGAGGCTGCGGGCAGGATGTGGCCTCCCCAGGGTTCTAGGTAAAAACAACAAATACCAAATGTGAGCGCTTCCTAAGGCAAGGTACACTTGGTGTTTTTTCTTTAAATAAAATTTTCAAAACAAAATAAAAATATAATATTTATAAGTTTCCACCCACCTAAAGGCCTCCCACCTATTAAGTGCGGGACTCGGGGTTAGGTGCTCAGGACAAGGTGGGGGGACCGGGAGTCTCAAGAGGTCCCGCAGGCTGGCCCCGCGGGCTGTCTGCATCGGGGAGCCCAGAGCACACCCCTCCGCGGACCCGTCGGAGGAGCCGGCCCTGGCAGCGGCGCTGACGCGGGCAGGGTCGCGGGTGTCGGGCCCTCGGTCCGGGAGGGAAGGCCGGGGTGCCCGCCGAGTCCCGGAGCCCCGCCCGCCCGCCGGGCAGGAATGTGGCCGGGCCGCAGGCTGGGGGCCGCCACCCCGAGGGGAGGAGACGGCGGCTCGCCTCTCCCCGGGCTCCCGCGCCTCCCCGGCGGCGATGACAATTTTCCAGCCACCGGCTCCAGCTGGCCAGGCTCTCGCCGCGCTCCCGCCCCCGGCTCCCGGCAATGGCCACGCCGTCCCGACGGGCGGGTGGCGGCGCCGACGGCGCGCCCCGAGTGGGGCGGCACGACGGGCTGGTGGTCCCCGGGCGCTGCGGGTAGGCTGGGCGGGAGGGAGTCAGCGTGGGGCCACTCACCGGGGCCGCGGGGGTCGCCGCCGCGTCCGGCTCCAGCGCCCCGGGTGCGGGCGCACGCTCCCCGCCCCCGGCCGCCGCGAGTCCCCAGTGGCTGGGGCTGGGGCTGGGGGGCAGCCCCGAGTCCGGGCTGTCCAGGACGCCGTCGCCCTTCTTCTTCGTGTCCACGAGCTCGGGCACATCCTGCAGGCTGAGCCGGCCCACCATGGCTGTGCGCGCGGCGCGGCCGGGGCACCGGCGCCGGGGTCGCGGGCGAGCGAGGGCCGCGAGGGGCGCAGACGCGGGCCGGGGCCGCTGCCCGCCCGGCCGCCCTCCGTGCCCCGCGCCCGCGCGCGTCCGGTCTCGCCGGCCGCCGCGCTCCCGGCCCCGCCCCCGGCCCGCCCGGCCCCGGCCGCGCCGCCAGGCTGGGCGCCAGGGGCCGCTGCGCTCCCGCCGTGCGCCGCCGGGCCCCGGGCGCGGGGCTCCGCGTGCGGGGCGCCGGACCCAGCCCGCCGGCCCTGCCCCGCCGCAGGTGGACGCGGTGTCCCGCTCGCGCCGGGGCCCTGGGGGCGCGTCGACCCCTCGCCCCGTCCCAGCGGGGCCCGGAGGCGCCACTGTCTTCGGACCTGGCGGTCCCGGAGCCAGAGCAGAGCCCCGGCCTGCAGAGGCCTGGGGAGCCGCCGAACCTGCTAGCAAACAACTGGAAATTATTAATAGTTAATGCGCCTCGTATGGCGGCAGCGCCTGTTGGCTCCGCAGGGCGGGCTTGGCTTTCACGTCTGCCCCGAGGAAAGGAGGCCTCCTTCCTCCTCACCTCCCCGGGGCACTGAGCACTCCCCGGCCCGTGCTCAGCTGGACGGGCCTCACCGGGCAGGGAGATCTGTGGTGGGCGCAGACTCCGACCTGCAACGGGATGGGCAAGCTCTGCTGGTGGCCCAGGGCTGCCTCGATGGCCAGGGGCCCCTTCTGGGGACGTATAGGAGCTTTCAGCTCTGTGCCCCACCCCCCAGGAGATCCCTTCCAAAAAATAGCCTGGGACTTCTCCTCCCCCTCTGGCTTGACAGAGAAGCTCCGTCCTAAGCGGGAAATCTTCAGTAGCTGCGGCTGTAGGGCCGGGCTGTTCCTAAACCCGGTACCTTCTCACACAGAGAGCTCCGGGACCATCAGCAAGGGTAGGAAGTCCCCACGGCCACCAGCCACCCTACTGTGGAGGTTCTGCCTGGTGTTCAGCCAAAGGCCTGGAGCCAGAGCCTGGCCCAGACCTACATGGCAGGGGGCCCGCCCTGGGCTAGGACGAGAGGTGGGCTCTGTACAGGACCCACAGTGGCAGCCCAGGCCGAGTCCTTGCAAAGACACGTGTCCTGCTTGGGGCAGACCTGTTAAACTCAGAAATTTCGAGCAGGTAGATCTTAGAGATCCGCTGGCAAAGTTCAGTCCTCCTACCTCCTTATCCATCACTTTCAGGTAAGGAAACAGAGAGGGATTCAACTTGCCCTAAGTCACACAGCTGGTACAAGACAGCTTGCTGTGAACAGGAAGCCAGGATCATCCCCTCCACAGAGAATAAAACCCGCTGCATGCCTGTGTGCTGGGAAGGCAAACATTCAATCAGGGCCCGTGGGAACAGATTACAATATCCCGCACAGTCCTGGACACCATTTGGTCAGTGCAAGGACATAATTACGCTGTTATACCTCCCTACCTCTGTGGACCCCACCATCTGCACGTCCCAGGCTGCCCCTGACCCCAGGTGGCAGAGGAGGAATCTCAGTGCTTTCTGGGGTTATGGAAAGGTGGGTGGTGGGTCTGCAGTGGGAGAACTCAGTTCCCCAGAGGGAATTTGCCCACCAAGCATTCCCAGGTAGACCTGAGAACTCTTCCCCAAAGTCTGGTCAGATTGGGAAAGGTGTCCAGGAAGATGACAACTGCTCCTAGGAGGTGGTGGCCTTCAAGGTCATCAGCCTGGAAGAGATGGAGGACGAGACTGAGGAGGTTGAGTGTGCAGGGCCAGTGCAGTCGCTCTCCTTCCGAGTGAGGATGGCCGTGGCGATGTTGGGAGACAGCTCCCCCTGCACCTGCTAAAACCCGGCGCCTGGCAGGAGCCCGGCATTGTCACCTCCCGAGGGCAGTTCTGAAGGGCTTAGACTATTCACATTCCAACAGACGATCCATGGAGACATCAAAGCTGCCAACAGGAGCAAGTGGCTGAGAAGCTGCCAGCTTTGGAGTGTCCGGGCAGAGCAAGGGGACACCTCTGAGGCACTGCGTCATCAAGCAGGTGGTCCAGGATTTCACAGGGGCTGCTGGGCCCTGGGAGTAACGGCCACCAAACTGGACTCAGGAAGCATCCAGACGCTGCCCTCCCTCCTATGAGAGTTCTGTCTGGTCCCCAAGAGCAACCTCTCCCCAACTCCAGCAGGGCATCTTGGCAATAAATAGAGATCGGGCAGGGTTTCCTGAAACCAGAGGACAGCCTCAGCCTCAGGGCGACTGCCAAGGAGCTCCTGAAGCATCAGTTGATTACTCACCATGGCCGCCTTCCTTCCAGACACGCTCAACACTGACACACGCAAGGAGTTGGAGGGGCTTGGAGAAGAATCCAGCCCTGGGCCTGACACTGACGGAGAAACAGGGATGGAGACCACAGTCCCTGACAGATTCCCCCAAACCATCAGATGCCCCCGACCCCTGCCACCAATAAGCCGCACCAAAGACTGATCCCTCCCTGTGGCTCCTAGAATTCTGATGAGCCAACCAAAAGGCAACAAAGAGTGACCCCAGGTTTGCCCACTCTTGTCCAGACTGCAAAGAGCTCAAAGATAAACAAACCCCAGCAGACTGGAAGCCACATGGATACCCAGAGAGCATCTTCGGCCTGGCCAAGGCATCCTGCCCATGGCATTCCTGGCAAGAGTGAGCAGAGCTATTCACACAGTGGGAACTGTCCAACTTCGGCCTGCCCAGGAGTCCTTCTGAATGGGAGAGAAGGGATCTCCCTTGTAGTAATAACGACAAACATGCAGCGCAGACCGTGGAGTCAGCCGTGTCCCCGCAGTCCCCACAGTCCCGAGCAGTGAGCTCACGCTGCCCATCCATTGCAGACCTTTACAAGGGCCTCGCTACCTGGGCTCGTCTGCATCCTACATCTTATTCTGGATGTTTCCCACAGAAACACTCTAATCAAAGCTTGGGAAAGGTAACTCACGCTACCTTTAACCCTCCCGGTCCGGGTTTGAAGACTGGCCTTCTTTTGAGGAACAACAGCTGGGGTGCGCCTAGAAATCAGGGGTGAGTTACACAAAGCAAGCGTGGCCCAGGGAGATGAGGGAGGCTGCAGAAAGACCGGCCCCTTCTCAAAGCTGTCCTTTCAGATTGGGCCACCATGGCCCCGACTGGATCACAGAGACACGGTGTCCTCGCAGGACTTGGCATCTGGCCGGAGGCCTCTCCCAGCAGGGTCTGAGGAACAAAAGCTGCCCAACAACGAATGCCAACCCTGCATTTTTGTTTCTTCTGCATTAAGTTAAGCTGATGCCCGAATGGGAGTTAAATCAGAAAAGAACAGGGCAGGCCTCCGCTTATTGTTTTGGAACAGCTTGTCTTCGGCAAACCCAGCCAGACAGTAGATTAAAAACACTCCCGGCCCCAGCACGTTGGCTCGCGCCCTGCTCCCATGGCACCTTGCAGCTCCCAGCCCCCTGGGTCCCAGGTGCAGGATGTAGTGGATTTGCCTTGTTCAATCAGATACGCTCTCTCCTTCATATGCACCCATGTCAACCAAATGCTTTAAAAAAAAAAAATAGAACTTTATTTTCTTCTGCAAATATTTTAAGATTAAGGTTACTGTTTTCAAAGAACATTGAAAGGGACCTGCCATAGTCTACAAAGAAAGGAATTGAATGAAAAAGACATACTCTGGCCGGGCGCAATGGCTTGCACCTGTAATCCTAGCACTCTGGGAGGCCAAGGCAGGAAGATCGCTTCAGCGCAGGAGTTCAAGAACAGCCTGAGCAAGAGCGAGACCCCCTGTCTCTACAAAAAGTAGAAAAGTTAGCCAGGTATGGTGGTACACACCTGTACTCCCAGCTACTTGGGAGGCTGAGGCAGGAGGATCACTTGAACCCAGGAGTTTGAAGTTGCAGTGGGCTAGTATGATGCTACGGCACTCTAGCCTGGGTGACCCTGTCTCAAAAAAAAAGACATCCTCTGACACAATGCAGCCCGCACGAGTATACACACACGTGTTGGTGAGGCTGATGAACCACCCTCAGCCCCTGGGACTCACAGAGTTGGCATGAGCCAGATAGCAGTGAGGGGACCCCAAAATTCTTGCTTTTAGACCTAAGTAGGCCTGAGGCGACAGGCTGGCTCCTTTTCTGACCTCTCCACTTGCAGACCACCAGTTTGGTTGGAGACATGGGGTCTGGCCAA